AATCCGACGAATCAGTTTTCTGATAAGTTCATGAAATCAAAGTCTCTGTCCTGGCACTACAAGAAAACAGTCAATCTGTGACCATTTTTTGTGACTATTATTTTGGTCACAAAAATGTGCGACTCGTTTGTGACGTTTTTGTGACAGATTTGTGACTACGCAAAATATCATAGCAAACTCGTCACAAAACTACGACGGACTGATACAGTCGTAAACCCGTCGCTAATTAACGACGGAAGTAAGACCAATATCGGTTGGTTTAGGTAGTCACAAATTTGCGACTCTTGTACGACTACATTATGACTGGCTATTTACCCAATTTCTGACGATTGTAAAGCGTCGCTGTTCCGTCTCACAGTTTATGTCGGCAGCCAGAAAAGTAGTTGGATACGTGATAAATAAGCGCCATGTCACTCTCACCTAACTCTTTTTTTAGGTCACAGACTGGTTGCAAAACATTCACAAATGTGTGACGGAATATGTTTCCGTCGCAAAGTTGTGGCAACTATTTTGCCTATATAAACAAAGAATGAAACTAAAAGTAGAAGATTCATATTTTATTTTAGCTTCTTTTCTCCCAGGCACGAGTTTCTAGAATGGTTATTAACCATTATGTAGTAGGAGGCTTGAGAGTTTGTTCGCTGGTTCTTTACCCATTTTGGTAACTTTTTCAAACCTTACTTTTTACCTACCACCTTACCTACTTTTGTAACCTGAAAAACTACCAAAGCTGCCATGAATCTCACTGGAAAATGCAAACTGATCGGATCCTGAGTTAAGATATAGAGTATCTCAAGGGGTGAAGTAAACTTACAACTTAGATTAATCCACTCTACGGATTTCTACTCTCCAACTTGAAGCTTCCAACCTCTACTGTCTATACTATGAGCATAAGAGAGAGATATGCTCTTGTTTGCTCTAAAAGCTTACTCTACAACAATTTGTCCAAGCTGTAGAGAATATAGAGATATAGAATTTAGCCTAATCCCCTCTAAGGATTTGTGTCCTCAAACGCTACTGTACTCTTAAGGTTTGCTACCATCTTCTCACCAAGGGTGTAGTAACCTTATCTTCTACGAATCTAGCCTAATCCCCTCTAAGGATTCACCTTGCTACTCCCAACCAGACCTAAAGCTGCTCATCATGAACCGAAAGTTCTCTACTGCTGAAAAAGGCAAAGGTATAGACCAACCTGTGGAACCTACAAGAGCTACAAGGGTTAGGGTTCCTCACTTTGACCCGGCTGAGCTAGTCCATAACCATGACTTGATGCTCATAGGACGTATTACCAATCCAAAAATCCAGAAGATGTGGGCGCTGTTACCGTTCTTAGCTGACCATTGGAAGGTTTCCTCTCGGCCTGTGTGTGCTGACATGGGACACGAGAGATTTCAGTATCAGTTTGCTTGTGAGGAGGACATACAATTGATTATGGCCAATAGACCTTACCATTTTGCTCATTGGATGGTCATCCTCCAGAGATGGGAGCCCACAGTGGCTTCTCCTTTCCCTTCTCAAATACCTTTCTGGATTAAGGTGCATGGGGTCCCAAGCCACCTCTGGTCCAATGCTATGTTGCTGAGCCTGGCATCCAACATAGGACATTTCGAGTCCTCAGAAATTATAACCTCATCAGCTAGGGTGAGAGTGATGATTAATGGCCTTAAACCGCTGATAATATCTTCTACCTTGGAGTTTTCTACTGGGGATGAAGTGAAGGCTGAGCTGGTATATGAGAGATTGGAAATACATTGTTCTTTGTGTCATATGCTAGACCATGACATCAAAGAATGTCCAGAGTCAGAGGAGAGACAATCCCATAAGTATATTGAAAACACACAGAGAGAAGACAAATGCTGAGTAGAGGCCTCTCAAGAAGCAGAGAGTTATTTGCCCCAAGACACCCTGGTGGCTATATCCCACCCAGATTCTCAAAGGAGAAGCCTGAAAATATTGCCTCTTCCTACACCAGGAAAGAAGAGGGCTATAGATCAAGACATTAAGAGCAACTTAACAATGAATATAGTTGTAGATATTCACACAAGCCGGATGTCTCAAGATCTCTGAACTCTGGTTTTTCAAAAGGCTCCTATCAGAATCCAAGGAGGGGTGAGAGACACACGCAACAACCTATTTGGATTGAGAAGAGGAAAAGAGAGTTACCTCAAGCTCTTCTTTCCTCACAGGAGAAATCTGCATCCTCTAGAGATAGAATGAAACGACCCGACCCAAAAATTTAAAAATTACCCTTCAGATTATTATCATCACAGATAATAATCCTCAATTGGATCAATACAACATGCGGAAAACATAAAATAATTAAACCAACTCAATCAATTCAATGATCCCATACATATTAAATCTCGCCGGTTCAATTCAACAATCCAAACAATAACCAATAAACCAATTAACTACAACTCAGAATTCACTAGCAACCTAGCAATTCTACAACAGCACACAGC